GATTTTAGCTTTATTAGCAAGTATTTCTTGTTCTATATGTAGAAATACTTCTGTATCCTTGACTTATTTTTTAATACCATTCATGTGTCATGATTACACTTTCTGTCCAAGTGTGACCATCCAGAGATGTGTGCCTTTTGCTTCTGTCTGTCTGAACTGTACAATTGTTTTTGCAAAGTATTTTTTGCCCAGTTTATTGTATATAATGGTTTATTTGCTCCACCTAAGAAAATATGCAAGGCCTTATCTGAAAGGATCATTTCTTACTCCCAACTGGAGTGGCCTATCAAGGAAAGAAGCAGTATTTTCAACAGTAATTAATTCAGGAGCAGAAGCAGTATTAACCAGTGGCTACTATTATTTTAATATTTTTGCACCCATAAATGTGTGGGATGAACCTTAATAAGCATCTAAAAGGAAGTGCCACCTCAAAGTCTTTGCAAGAGCTTGTAATTCTTTTTGAGAATGTTATTTTCAGAGATTGTGTTAATTTATTTACCCTGTCCTATTTATCTGGGCAGCTAAGGTTAAAAAAAAAAAAAATCTGAAAGTATCACGTGATGCTTATTCTCCTGGAAGTTGTAAACACTTCTGTGGACTTATGGGATCCACTTTAGGGAGCACTGCTTGCACTTAGATATTTTTAGAAAGCAAAAGCACCACCTTTTTCCATAAACTGGTTTCTTGATGTAGTATTTAATTTCTGTTATGTGGGTGCTCATTTGAAGACTGTACCAGTGTGTTGCAAGACTGGGGCTTTAGTTAAAATACAATTTTAACTGGAAACTTTGCGTTGCACTGTTAGGATAACAGATTTTAAATATATTGCAGATGTTCACCTGTGCTATTCTAGCATGATTTAACATGACTAAACCAGAGTTTTATAGCAGTTGAAGCAATACATGGAGACTTTAAAACTTGTTTTGAAGAACCTGCACAAACACATATATAGGTATCCTGAAAGACAAGCCTTAGAGATGGAGCACTAGGAAGATAAAGAAGAATGAGGAAAGCCTGACCACTGGTTATGATGGTAGTCAGGATGCATACAGATGCGGCATTTGCGTCATAACTGAGACATGATTATAGAAAGAAAGGCCATAAAGCAAGAGTGAGTTCAACCAGAACCACAGCTGTGGCTATAAAGTATTCCCATAAAGTAACAGAGTGTGTTGATTGTGTGTGAGAACCTTTGAAGGTCTGCCTGTAATCACAGCATTGATGACATGTAGCCAATACTAACAAACAGCAAAAGGACTGTAAGGAGTACAGATTAAATTTAATTGCTTAAAGCTAGACAAAACCAGATCAGATTAGCTTCATGGTACTTACCTGGAACAGGATGTTGGTATAGTTTGAAGAGGGAAGCCCAGCAACTGCCTCCCCCCAACCTCCCACATGAATTTTATGCTATAGCTTGATTTAATGGGTCAGGCACAAGCTGTTATTCAGGTCACAATGGGAACTACCAGACCTAACAGACTATTACTCATATAGGACAGGAAGGATAACTCTGGAAAAAAATCACTTGTCTTCATTCCTTATGTATGCAGTAAGTGCATCAGCAAGGCTGCCACTTCTTGAGTTTTTGCTTCTGTAATTAATCAGCGTGTCTTGCTGATTGTAGGGAATGTAGGGATAATATTAGACCTAGCAAAAGAAGTTGGGATGGATCAAGCAACATTAGTTTGGTTTATATGACACTTAGAAATGGTAGCTGAGGCTTCAGGGTCATGTATATGTAGTTTACTACCTACTTACTCTATGAGAGCAGTCTAGCATATAGGCAGAGAACGTGGTAATAATCTTAAAATTCTGTGGAGGTCTTTATCACAGTTATTGTATCAAAAGACAAAATATCACACAGTAATGTGAAATTGCTGGCACAACTGGACAAATACCCACTCTACAAGCATGTAGTTTGTGGGGGCTCTTAAAAGTCTCATCAGAGAGCCATGAGTTACATTGCCTCTTAGTATGATGAGTTGGCATCCTCGGAACTAGCTTCTAGCCATTGTTTCTCTTCAAATATTGTCTTAGATCCATACCATTTAGACTGCTAATTAAAGTCAAAACTGAAGCCAACTGGTGGTATTGATATATAAGCTCTTGTGCATCATATATAAAGGGCAAGGTTTTTATACATCTATGCAATCTTTCCTACTTCCGACCAATGTCAGATGACAAGGCTTACTGGAAGACTACTGGGATGGACACAGTTATATTGTCGTTCACTCTAACCATGTTGTTTCCCTTCTGCTTTTCCAGCACGTGCATGCATCTACTCATTAAAACTTTGGCACAAATTGTAGCCATGTCCACTGCAAGCACAACCCTTCCTGCTTTCACATTTTATGTTAAAGCTGCCTTTAGCCTGCATTCTTGGAGTGGCTGACCATCTCATGGATGAGAGAAAAGAGAATCTTTGAATCTACAGCTATGTAAGATGGGTGGTGTTCTGACAGAGAGGAATACTGAAAAACCTTACTATAGATAGATGAAATAAATTGTTTATATGAAGGAAGAATTGCTATGAAGTTGAACACTTGCTATCAAGCTAAGCTCAACTGAAGGCCCATTCTGGACTCTTGTAGCAGATAAGTTTCTGCCAGAAACTTGTTTTCCTAATATGCTGGATTTGTTGGAGGAGGTGGGGCTCTTAACCCCTTCTGGGTAATGGTATTGTCGTCACTTCAGCACTGTGCCTTAGTCTGACTAAATTACAGGAATGTCATTTACTTCAGTGCAAGCACTAGACTGTACAGGCAGTTAATTTAGAATGTACTCGTCAGAGAATGGGTGAGATTGGAAGGAACCACTGCAGCTCATCTAGTCCGGTACCCGCACCCCTCCATTCAAAACAGCATCAGTGTCAGGTTGTTCAGTGACATGTTGTTGCATTTTGAGTCTGTTCAAAATGGGGGTGCAACGTTTTGAGCTACTCATCATCTTTGGCCCGTATTTGCATAACAGCATGCATATAAACCTTCACCACAGCTGTGAAGTGTGACTAGGACTGAAGAGCCCTGAGACACATGAGCTAGGTCTTAGACATGCACACACATAATATACAGCTCTTAAGGCTGAGGCCTTGACGAGTCCTTCCCAAGGGTTATACAGTTTGGGCTTTGGGAACTGTTGCAGACTAACAATCATTTTTGTCCAGCTCTTTCTTTTAGGGGCAATGCAGTACACATAAATTTTATAAATGTTTGAAAGACCCACATGCAATTTGGAAGGGCTAGGTGCTATTCATGGTAGCAAGAGATCTGGACACTAGGTTGAATGCCTGTATAGACATCTTCAGTTTCCTGGTTTGCAAAGAACAAGTAGGGCCTGTTCCAATTACAGTCCTTTCCTGGTTTGGGGCTGGGGTGGGGTTTTGTTTGTTTTGCTTGGTTTGGCTTCTTGGAGCTTGGGGGAGGTGTCACGAAGTGGTTTTGCTTGGTGTTTGGGGTTGTTTTATTGTTGTTGGTTGGTTGGTTTTGGGTTTTGCACTGCATAACGTACAGGATACAAGTGGCACCCAGAATGAATAGCACTGTTGCTGGCTGTCATCATGTGACTATTTCTATATGTGTGCAATCATTTGTAAATGATTGGTAGATTAAAATTAAAATATGTGGTGGTTTTGGTTTGTTTTTTTTCTCTAGTACTAGGCCAGTCAATTGAATATTTAAACAGTTCTTAATAGGGCAGGGGACAGATAGCACCCACATGAAGTGTAACACTACTACATAACCAGTTAGACATGGACACAGCACTGCTCCTGACATCTACTTCCTGCTGTTTTACATATATATGATGCTATGGAGTCAAGCTCATGCATGTGTGCCTAAAGGTGGGGATCTATAATTTGTGCTTGCAGATGCAGCAGCTTTCCTAGAGCTGTTGGCTTAGTCTGCATTTGAGATATAGTTATAATCCTTTGGGTTTGGATTGGATTTTAATATATATACACACAGAGGTATGTATATACATGTATATATATTTGTAATTTCTACAAGTTTTAAGGGGTTAAAAGTCCTGAGCATATAGAGCAATCTAAAGTAATGTGATCTTATGGCGGGGGGAATCCCATCTGCAAGTGATAAGGTATTTCAGAATAATTTTTGTTGCCATACTATTGTCATTATTAACAATTTGATGTCATGGCACTGTGCTCGCTAATTCTGTTAAAGCAGTATCTTCTCAGATAGGCTTAGCCTTATTTTGTGGAGCAACAGATTATACCCTGAGAGACTAATATTAACAATATGGGGAAGCTCATATGCCAGTGTGCAGCAAACATCTGTACTTGCATGCAGGTTAGAAAGTATTTTCAGTCTTACTAGTTAAGCACAGCAACTTCATGAGCCTGTATACTGCCTAGCTGCTTTGCTTTGTTGCTGACCTGCAACTGACTCATGTTGGCTTCTGGAACTCATATTAGCACATCATTTGAAGAGAAAATCCAAGAGATTATTTTCTGCTTATTTATTTATAGCTCTATTAGGTAGTTAGCTGGTTCAATGGAAAATGTTATGTCCCTAAAGGTTTATGCCAAAAGCATTATCAATGTGGAATGTCAGTTTTAACTAAGTCTTTGAATGTCGGCAGACTGCTTTGTAATTTAATAATTGCATATTGTTAAGACTGTTGCTAAGTTTGTGATCAAAAACTCTTTATAAACCACTTGTCTTAAATGCTGATGTATTACCATTGTTTTTAATGTCATGTGATAGTGTGTATGGTTTGTGTTTTAGCTGTGACATCCAATAGAAACAGTCCTGTCACAGCTGGAACTGTTTTAAGTGCCATTTATCACCTTTGTGAAGGAGTAACAGATGATTTATTCCTTCCTTAGTAATAAACCATAAATTTGACCTCACTTCTTCCTTTCACACATGCAGGACTAACGGCTTTTACAAATTTGGTTCATCAGTCAAGAAATTAAGAAGACAGGACACTGTTGCAGACAGCTTTGGATTACTGCTTGCATTTGAGTTCTCCAGAAATTGTTTTAGAGGCATCTTTTATTTAAGTGATGTATCATATCCATGAGATTGGCATTTATGTTTTAAGCATTACCCATCTTTGATAAAAACTATAATCCAGCATTGGTTTGTGTTTCCAGGCATCTTTTAGACTTTCAGAGACTTGCTCGAGTTGGAGATCTTTACCCCTTAACCCTGCAACAGATAATTTTTTTCCTTTTCAATTTAAGAGTATATTCTCACTCTCTCCAAGACCTTGTAATTCCTTCTGAAAAAGAAATGCTCTTTCCTGAACTCTAAAATACATCCTCTTAAGAGCTGTAACCCTTCTTGTAATTTAAATGCATTCCTAGCTAACTTGACATCAATAGGAAAAAAAATAACAACACCAGCTTAAGGTTAAGACCCATAAAAGCCAAGCATTAGCCTCCAGTTGGGACCAAGACTTATTCCATGGTCAGGCATCCCAGAAAGAGTAGCAGCAATACAAAGTACTGCACTCTGAAATTAATATTAGCCAGGCTACATCTTTCATTTCTTCACTGTAACATGCTGCCATAGGGATAGGTAAAGTGGAACAAGGAAATTTATTTATTTATAAATTTAGAGCTTAATTTACATCTTAGAATAAAAAGATACCAGCCAATACATTTAACGTTCTTATTTGGCCATTACAGTCAGTCTCAGTCAGGTGAAAAGAAGACAGGAATCAAAGAACAACATTATGTCCAAGACCTGCACAAGGGGTATTAACTACAGAGACTATGTAGAAGTGTATACAGAGCCCCACAGTGGTTTTTTTTAAAAAAAAAAAAACAACAAAAAAACAAAACCCACAGAATTCAGATTTCAAAAAATTCATTAAAACAATTCAATAGCAATCGATAGCAAATTCAGTAACTGAGATGTCTGACACATGATGCAGTTAGTTTCAACCATAGCACCGTAACTGTTTATAGGAATGTTTCATATCAGTATAAAAAGCCTTAGGCTTAAGGTCTTCTGAAGTAGGCCTCAATTTGTTCCAGGGTCTGTCCTTTTGTTTCAGGAACATAAAAGGCTGTAAAAGTTACATTGATGCAGCAGAAGGCAGAGAAGAGCCAGAACGTGCCATAGGATGTTAAGAAACCCTGAGGGGAAGCAACAAAAAAATGCATTATTACAGCTCACTACTGTACAACTACAGTTCTTCATTGCCAGAGAAGACTGTGGCTCAAGGCGCTCTCAGGAGCATCTTTAATAAGTTTCCCTATGAAAAGAAACTTCAGATTGTAATTTACAATGCTTACTATTAAATCATGAAATTCTTTTGTTACCAAGAAGGCCATAACCCAGTTTGTTAACACACAAGCAGCACTTGATATGCCTCTAGCTTTAAGTGGGAAGATTTCAGATATCACCAGCCACGGAACAGGACCCCAGCCAAGGGCAAAACCTGCAATTACAAACAAGAGAATAAATGCAAGTTAAGTACATACTAAAGGGAAGAATGAATGGTGCTCCAGTTAGTCAAGTAGGGGGGGATGTAGTTTTCACTCTAGATTGTTAGACGGTTCCAGTAAAACAGTACCTCTACCAGAAGGAAAGAGGGTAAGTTATTTTAGGGCAGCATAATAAACGCTAGGGCATTTTACATCAAATTAATTACAAGTATATTCTTAACAAGCAGAACTTCTTGCCACAAAGTCTCTGAAGTGGTAAGCTTAAAGACTGACATTGTTTCTAACTGCTGCTTCTTTGTACCATCGCAGAATTCAGCATGGCTCAGACACTAACAAAGACTGTTTTTCCATTAACAACTGTAAAGCAATCTAACCTGAGCAATTACTATTTACACAAGGAAGTACGAATCCATTTTCCTGGGAACTGGCTTAACTAAGCTGCTAGCTCTATCACCAGGGTTGTGAACACTCAGCCCAACTTTGTATTAGACACTGAAAAAGTCTGTCAAAGACATAACTCATTTCCATTCATCGATAATGTGACTAAATGGAACAAAACTGTCAATTCATAAGAAAGTTTGAGTTTTGTGTGATGGCTACTTATTAGCCTGTTCCACTTACCGGCAACAAAGAGCCCTAGGCTCACTACTGCAAGCCAGGATATGCTGCTTTCTGTTCCTGGGGATGCTGAATTTAGAGTGAAGCATACATCATGATTTGATGAGTTGTTTCGATTTGGAAGGACCATTTTAAAGTAAAGCCCAAACAACGCAGTACTGAGAGCCATGATTATCCCTGAAAAGTAAAAACCAAGTTGTCACTTGGGTATTTTCTGAAAGACAGAACACAGTTGGTCTGCCAAATATAAGATATGCTAGCCCTCACAGAAGTGTTTCTTAAAAGATACTGTTCTTGGAAATAAACACTGGGTCTGACAAGAGTGAAAGAGGCTAGACAAGCATTCTGAACACTAGCCAAGCAATATAATCTTGGCAGCAGTCATTACTACTGAGTGTGCAGCACAACTACATCAAACAGAATTAGTTTTCTTTAGCACAGTTACTTGAAAAGTTCAAAACTATAACTGTAGTCTTGTATAACTAAACACCACAGTGCACCATGAAAGTAACAGCAACCACAAAGAAATTACTTTGAAATAGCCATTTGTTGACAACTTGGGTATGAGAATGTATCATGACACCGAGTCTTATTAGGCAGAAAAATTATCACAGTAGTAAGAACTGTCTCAGTGACATAGCTATTTCAAAATAAAAACTGGCCTGGTAAGAAGACAAAAAGATAGCCATATGTAGTTTCAATGGTTTCCACCTACAGTGTGTATATAACGTGACAGTTTCCTCTTATGAGTTTAAGTTTATACTTATACCAAATTATAAACATAAAGCAAAACACTTAAAAATGCATAAACCACAATACTTAATTCCCTCAACAGTTAAGACACTTTTTGGTACTGTATATAGTAATTTTTCTTACTGAACAAAATTTAGTAACATGTTTTACCAGATATGTAAAGCAGCAATTTTCGTCCAGTTTTATCTATGATAAGTGCAGCCACAGCAGTGAACCATACTTGTATGGAACCCACAACCACTGAAGCCATTCTGCTGTCCTGAAATAAAGAGGTAGGGAGAATTTGCTTTCAGGCTGATAAGAGGATCACTTATCAAGCATTACAAATACATTTGTTTCTTGAATCTGAAAAAAAGACAAATTATGCCACAGATATTAATGGTGGAGGGAGACAACAGGGGAGGGGGAAAAAAAACCTGAAACACAAAGCCAAAAAGCCACACATCACTAAAACCATTACCAATTAAGACAACATACCGGTCTCTTAATAAACTTTTAAATAAGCCACAACTTCTTACAGTTTCCCTTTCTCTGAAACATTGCATTTACAACTCTACTAAAAAAAAATTTTTATATAGGAAGATGATTATAGTAGGAATTTCTATCAGTAACAAAGTTTCAGACCAGCAAAACACAACATACTTCCCACCCACCCCTCCTCGCAAAACTCCAGAACATTCAGGTATGCCAGAGTAACACAGTCCACCTGTGTTACACAGGTATCTAGAATCCAAACCAAAAAAGCCCACTAAACCCCAAACCCTGTTATTTGTGACACAGGCAGGATGATTATCAAGTTGGGTTTTTATGTGTTTTAGACTTACTATTGCACCAACTAAGCTGAAACTATTATAGACATTTGTCAGTTTGGAAACACCCCAATTACCTTGAAGTTTGCATCTTCAAAGATAGTTTCTGCATAAAACATAACTGCATTAATGCCTGTTACTTGCTGGAAGAACATTAGAGCCACCCCAATAAGAAGTGGCCTGTAGATTGAGGGGTTCTTAAATTCAGAGATATTCAGTCCCTGTTAAAAAGATTAAGCAATAATTTGGTGAAAAATTTCATCTTTTAAATCAGAGAACAAAAGCAACAACAAAAAAACCTCCTCAGAACATTTCAATTCATTCAAACTCAGGAAGTTCCTCTGCCCCTCTTTTGCAAAACTAAGTGCCTTAGCAGTAAATATGTCTACATTTGAAGTATGTGAGAACTCCAGAAAAGCATTTTTCCCCTTTTCTCAGGTTCTAGAGACGGAAATTGACAGTGCTTTGTAGAGAAAGTTAACATGAATGAATGAACAGTTTGCAGAAAACAAACTTCAATGATTAGATCTGCCTATTTAAGGTCTCACAAGAGGCTAAATTAGAGACACAAGAGAAAATGCATTCATACATTGCAAACAATAGGAAATAAGCATTAGAGGTGTTAAACAATCCTACAAAATTGCTAAATAAAGCAAAAAACTAGTTAGCTGTCATATAATTCACAAGACCATGAGCCTGACTGCTGCCCATGTACACTGATGGCAGCCAACAGTGGTAGCAGTTGCAGCTGAAAGGCAGAGGAAAAAGATTCAAAGAACCCAACTTGCTTCTCGAGTATCATTTGTATGAGGGAACAGGTTTGGACCGCTCTTTGTAGAAAAGGCTATTGACTAAGCTTTGGTAAAAACCTTTTAATTACACTATATGCTTTCAAATGTTATCTCCATACAAAATTTTTTTAAAGAGTAAATCAGATTCTCATCACCTCTTTCTGAACACTAGCTTCAATCTGCCTACATTCCCATTCATGGTCCACGTGTGGTCCCCGCAGAAAGCGCAAAGCAGCTATGGCTTCTAAGCGTTTGTTCTGATTCAGCAGAAATCTTGGTGTTTCAGGCATGAAGGACATGAACAATAGCATTATGCAGGATGGAAAAGAACAGAACACTGCCAGCCAGCGCCATTTTAGTGTTGTTCCTGGGTGACAAAAAGGAAAGAAAGATGACTATGAACATCAATTAGTTGTACAAATTAACATTTACTTTAAATTCTTCAGTGTAATTCTTTCATTACATGTACTAATTCTTTTTTGTAACCTAGAGCCCTAACCCCAATACCTGCAACGTAGGCTCCCAGTATGCCAGTCACCACCATCAACTGAACACAAGAGCCAAGCATACCACGGACTTTAGAATGAGATATTTCAGATATATAGACCTAAAACATAGGGAGAAAACATCTAATAATTACTTCTATCCGATTTTGGATCAAGGACTTGGTAAGTAATTAATTTCTGAAAAAACACAGATTATTTCCTAGTAACTCCCCTCCTTAAAAATAGCCTCAATAAAATGGAGTGAGTAGAAAAGTACCATCTCAGAAATGCATATTGGCATTATGAAAAACCTTGGAAAAAAAGGGAGGACATAAGCCAGAAGAATGTTGATGCATATCAGTGTCCCAAAGGTAAATAAACTTGCAGTAGTACGAGCTTCTTTTATTTGCCTTCTTTTGTTCGCCTTTGCGTAACCACATAGCCCGAGCCACATATAAAACTGTTTGCAATAAAAGTTTTATATTTCTAATTCAATGTAAAGAGTGCAAATTATTTCATTCTCTGTGAAGTTCAAAATTGACAGCTCATCTTAACACAAACTATATGAACAGCACCACACTTCATCCAATATTTGGGATCAACTTAAACTTTTCAGCTGTTTTTCTAATACACTGACCCAGAGTCAACAGCTACAGTTTAGCTGTATACATTAAAAAAAAAAAAAAAATCCCTCATACTTGCACATGCAATTCTTTCTAAAGTCACAGCTCTTACTTTTTTCTGGAAGGAAGTAAGCCTTTTTCAAGAATAAATTAGAGCTACAAAAACTTGGTATTACATATAACACTCTCCTCCCTCATCACTGCGGTCACATAGGTCCTCTGCTGTTGGCTGTGGGTTAATGCCTTTACATATAGGAACTTAGAGCTCAGCTCCATGAAACAAAGAGAAAGCAGTCATTTGTAAAGCACAGACTTCCTCCAAAGACATCAACAAAACAGACTAAGCAACCAAGCTTCAACAACAGAGAAAGTTGCACAAGGTTATCATTTAGACCCTACCACCCTGAATCTTTTTTAGGTTTTATGTTTACAGCCATCTACATTGAAAAAGAACAAGCATTTACTCCATACTTCATTGCAAGCATCTTTTGCTTTTTAGTTTGCATCTCGCTTCAAAAGCTAGAAAATGCTGGAACCACCAGAAAAGAAACAAATTTGAATTCTAGATGGTTTATTTTACACTACTACCTATTCAGCTAGATCCGAAAGATCTAGCTGAATATTTCAAATAATACCAAAGAAGACAGATAACAACAGAATGAATTCTCTCCATTCCCTACTGCGTGTATATTCCTGAATGCATGGGAAAAGTTAATATTCAGAAGATAACAGTCAAATGGAATCAAAAGGCACTATTTGTCATTACTCCAAGATGAGTGAGCAGCCATAGGTTATTTACAAAGTTTGGTGAAATATAAGATGATTAAAAGCAGCTGCTAATAGAAAGAAAAAAAAACCCCCAACCCCCCCTTAATGTTATATACGAGGAATTTGAAGAGATAAATATTACCAGACTATAGTAGACCATAAACAGAAGCAATCAAATAAAGGACTAATAACACACCACTGTATCAGGAATGCATAGTACAGAAGTCCCACTAGAAAAAACAAAATTTGTTTTATTTACATTTTCTTCATGATTAAAAACAAGCAAAATATGATTCTATAGAAATGAGTTTCTTCTAAATCCACAAACTGCCTTGGCTACAGTTATTCAGTTACTTCCTTCAAGCCACCTATAATACTGCTATGGAAAATAAAAATAAAAAAAACCCACAAATAAAATAAAGCAACCACACATGCACACACACACAGAAAAAAGTGTCTTACTTACCGGAACAACAAGTGAAGTAATTCCACTAGCTAAGCCTGTCAGCATTCGTCCAAAATAAAGCATCCAAACATTCTGAGCAGATATAATAACTACATATCCAAAAACATACGGTAGTGAGCACAGCATTAGACTCAGCTTTCTCCCAACTTTATCCACAAGGTAGCCTCCTAGTATTCCTCCAGCAGCAGCTCCTAATGTTACTACTGACTTCAAAAAACAAGTAAAAAAAAATTATTATACACATATATAAATAAATATAAAAATAAATAACCAACAGCAATTTATTTTAAAATCCTGAAAAGTAAATAGCAGCTTCTAAAAAAGATGTGCAAGAGCATGCAGGTGTTTTGAAAATCAAAATAAACATTAACTTCTTAATCAAAACATAGTCAGGAACTGCACAGCAGTTAATTTTCGCATTACAAACAAAGCTCTTTCAAAAAAAAAAAAAAGAAAAAAAGAGCAGCAGTAACTGTTTCTTAATCTGCCTACAAAGCTGTCCCTACACAAACAGGTCTTTCAAACTGTTTTAAAGCTCTAAAACATTTGTTGTCATGACTAACCTGAAGTCCAGCCTGTATCCAAAAAGCAAATATTCCCCATGTTGATGGATTGCACTACTTTATTAAAAAGTTTAGTTTCTGTGGTCCCTTAACAGGTTCAACTGGGAAACATGAGAACGGTTAGAAAACATTCTAGCACCAAAAATAAGTTTGAATAATAGGGGCATTTATTAATATATGCTGAGAGTTATCAGAGCATAACAGCACTGTTACTCAGGAAGAATGGGAATCAATCACTGAGTTTAGAAAAAAAAACGGATTTCATTATTAAGATCTGCATTTACCCTCGTTCTTAAGAGGAGTAAGACCCCATCACATAAGCATCATCTTCTTGACCTACGCTTTCAAATGAAATCACATCACGGTAAGGCATCATACAGAAACTTACCCCAAACCACGTGGCTTGATTGCTGTCCAATCTTAATTTAGGATCGTCGATTTTCCTCAGCTCTGGAATAACAGGTGAGCTATAGCCTAGCACGAAGCCAAAGCTAAGCGGTCCCAGGACAGCAGCGAACGTGGCCAGGTACAGCTTCTTGTTCTGCACTCTGAGGCAGAAGAGGCCGACAAGGGTCGCGCCACGCCCACCTCCCGCTCCGGCCCCCTACCAGGGCCGGTAACGCTCGCGGGGGCCCGGCAGAGGCCTCGACCCCGAGCTCGCCT